AGATTTGAACTGTAAAACTCCTAGAAGAAAGCATAGGTAGTATGTTCTTTGACATCAGTCTTAGCAGTATCTTTTTGAATATCTCCTTAGGCAAGGGAAACAAAAAATAAACAAATTACATCAAATTAAAAGCCTTCCGCACAGCAAAGGAAACCATCAACAAAAACAAAACACCCTACCAGGGCCGGCCCAGTGGCACAGCAGTTAAGTTCGCACGTTCTGCTTCTCGGCAACCCAGGGTTCGCGGGTTCAGATCCTGGGTGCGGACATGGCACCGCTTGGCACACCATGCTGTGGTAGGCAACCCACATATAAAGTAGAGGAAGATGGGCACGATGTTAGCTCAGGGCCAGGCTTCCCCCCAGCAAAAAGAGGAGGACTGGCAATAGTTAGCTCAGGGCTAATCTTCCTCAAAAAAAAAAACACCCTACCAATTGTGAGAAGATATTTGCAAATCACATATCCAATAAGGGGTCAATAACCAAAATATATAAAGAACTTATATTGGGGTCAGCCTGGTGGCGCAGCAGTTAAGTTTGCACATTCTGCTTCAGTGGCCTGGCATTCGCCAGTTCGGATCCCAGGTGCAGATCTGCCCACCGCTTGTCAAGCCATGCTGTGGCAGGCATCCCACATACAAAGTAGAGGAAGATGAGCACCCTGTTAGCTCAGGGCCAGTCTTCCTCAGCAAAAAGAGGAGGATTGGCAGCAGATGTTAGCTCAGGGCTAATCTTCCTCAAAAAAAAACCACAAAACTTATACAACTCAACAACAAAAAAATAAACAACCCAATCAAAAAATGGGTAGAGGATATGAACAGACATATTTCCAAAGAAGATATACAGATGGCCAACAGGCACGTGAAAAGATACTCAGCATCACTAATTATTAGGGAAATGCAAATCAAAACCACAATGAGATATCATCTCACACCAATCAGAATGGCTATTGTTAAAAAGTCAAGAAATATCAAGTATTGGAGAGGATGTAGAGAAAAGGGAGCCCTCTTTCACTGGTGGTAGGAATATAAATTGGTGCAGCTCATATGGAAAACAGTATGGAAATTCATCTGAAAGTTAAGAGCAGAACTACCATATGATCCAGCTCTTCCACTGCTGGGTATTTATCCAAAGGATGTGAAAACACAAATGCATAAAGATACATGCACCCCTATGCTCATTGCAGCATTATTCACAATAGCCAAGACTTGGAAGCAACCTAGCTGCCCATCAAGGAATGAATGGATAAAGAATATGTGGTATATATACACAGTAGGATACTACTCTGCCATAAAAAAGAGGAAATGTTGCCATTTGTGACAAGTGGATGGACCTTGAGGGTATTATGCTAAGCAAAATAAATCAGAGGGAGAAAGTCAAATACCATGTGATCTCACTTGTAAATAGGAGATAAAAACAACAACAAACAGGGGCTGGCCTGGTGGTGCAGCGGTTAAGTTCACACATTCTGCTTCAGTGGCCCAGGGTTCACCAGTTCAGATCCCAGCTGCAGACCTACACACTGTGGCAGGCGTCCCACATATAAAGTAGAGGAAAATGGGCACGGATGTTAGCTCAGGGCCAGTTTTCCTCAGTAAAGAGGAGGATTGGTGGCAGATGTTAGCTCAGGGCTAACCTTCCTCAAACAACCACAACAACAAACAAACACATAGAGACAGAGATTGGATTGGTGGTTGGTTACCAGAGGGAGAGCGGGGAGGGAGGAGGGCAAAAAGGGTGATTAGGCACGTGTGTGTGTGTGTGTGTGTGTGTGTGTGTGTGTGTGTGTGGTGATGGATTGAATTACTGTTTCGGTGGTGAACATAATGTAATGTACACAGAAATCGAAATATAATAATGTTACCCCTGAAATTTATATAATGTTATAAACCAATGTTACCTCAATAAAAAAAAAATTATTCAGGTATACCTTTAAAAAAAATCATGTCGTACAACCTACATATATACAGTTTTTATTTATCAATCATACCTCAACAAAGCTGAAAAAAAAAATCAATTATTCAATTATACATTTTAAATTAGGAAAAAAAGACACCATGAAACACAGGAAATTATTTTGATATGACAGAAAATCTTTGTTTTCTATGCAAATTAATTAAAAAGTAAAGAAAAACCTTTTATAACCTCTTATCAGACCAATCTCTTATAGACCAATAGACCAAGAAAACTTTGTCCTTTTAACAGAGAGAAACCCAAATTCTAATATTGCACCCACTTACTTTTGGTAATAAAACTCATTTCTTGTTTTTTTAAACTTAATTATATCCATTCCAATCTTAGCCAGCTTGACCACACATAAAATTTCTTTTCCAAGATATCTTTTCCATAAACCTTCTACAACTGTCTTTCCTTTTTTTCATTCAAATTTTGTCTTATGTTTTTTTCTCTTTCTCATTTTGAAACAACCAGTCTCATTTTAGGACAAAATTATTTTCTTTTCCCTCACCAAAATGCATTTGCACTCCTTGTTTCTTCTTTTACTGGAAACACACATCTTACTTTTCTCGCATTGTTTCCCTTATCATTTCTAGTAGCTTATCTGTATTAAAATTTTTAACCATTAAAAACCTTAATTTCTAGTGAAAATAAAGAAATAAACAATTGTGAACTGTTACATTAGCATTCTGTGGCTTGGCAAATGTATAAATACTTTTTATAATTTTTAGAAATGTGCTTTCTCCTAGTAATTTTTCATGTGGCACAAAACATGTTTACTAATAGACCCAAATATCTTTAGTGTCTCTGCAAAAGGAAACCAAAAGTGGGTAAACTTATGTTCGATCATTAGTGTTTTAGTATCTTATTTGGAAATAATCTACATGTTTAATGACTAGCCATCGTTTAATTTAACTTAGCAAAACTTTAAGGCTTTAGGTTACCAAAAAGATTTGTAAACTATTTTTACATAGACATACCACAGAGATCAAGTTATTTTTCTTGCTGACAAATTTCATAACAGGGATAACATGAGCTTATTTGACTGATAAACCCAGGTAAATAAAAGGTGTATGTTCGTATTATATTTAATGCTAATAACTCTAAATATATGTGTCTATTTTTGTTAAACCAACAATTTAAATTAGCTTTAATACTGAATATTTTCCCAGATCACATGATCCAGAAAAGCATTTGAGTTAGTTTCTATTATATTTCTTTTCTTTCTTTCTTTTTTTTTTTGCTGAGGAAGATTCGCTCTGAGCTAACGTCTGTTGCCAATCCTCCTCTTTTTGCTTGCAGAAGATTCACCCCAAGCTAACAACTGTGCCAGTCTTCCTCTATTTTGTATCTGGGTTGCTGCCATAGCATAGCCCCCAACTAGTGATGTTGGTCTACACCCAGGAACCAAATCTGGGCTGCCGAAGCAGAGCACACTGAACCTAACCACTAGGCCATGGGGCCGGCCCCAGTTTCTATTATATTTCTGAGAATTTTAGGAATACTTAATTCATATAAGCACTTATTTTTCTTTGGGCCAATCAAATGGAGCTTTTTTACAAATTAATGTTGACAGTACCATCCAGAGGTAGAAAAATATTACACATCTATAACTCACATATGTACAGGAATACCTCAGAGATATTGCAGGTTCGGTTCCAGACCACCACAATAAAGTGAATATTGTAATAAAGCGAGTTTCCTGGGGCCGGAACGGTGGCACATCAGTTAAGTTCACATGTTCCCTTTGGCTGCCGGGGGTTTGCTGGTTTGGATCCCGGGTGTGGACATGGCACTGCTTGACTAGCCATGCTGTGGTAGGCGTCCCACATATAAAGTAGAGGAAGATGAGCATGGATGTTAGCTCAGGGCCAGTCTTCCCCAGCAAAAAGAGGAGGATTGGCAGCAGATGTTAGCTCAGGGCTAATCTTCCTCAAAAAAAACGAGTTTCCCAAATTTTTTGGTTTCCTAGTGCATATAAAAGTTATGTTTACACTATACTGTAGTCTCTTAAGTGTGTGATAGCATTATTTCTAAAAATGTCCATACCCTTATTAAAAAACACTTTATTGCTACAAAGTGCTGATCATCATCTGAGCCTTCAACGAGGTGAAATCTTTTTCCTGGTGGAGGGTCTTGCTCGATGTTGATGGCTGCTGACTGATCAGGATGGTGGTTGCTGAAGGCAGGACGGCTGCGGCAATTTCTTAAAATAAGACAGCAGTGAGGTTTGCCGCATCGATTGTCTCTTCCTTTCACGAACGATTTCTCTGTGCATGTGATACTGCTTGGTAGCATTTTACCCACAGTAGAACTTCTTTCAAAATTGGAGTCAGTCCTCTCAAGCCCTGTCATTGCTTTACCCAGCAAGGTTATGTAATATTCTAGATCCTTCGTTGTCGTTTCAACAATGTTTACGGCATCTGCACCATGAGTAGTTTTCATCTCAAGAAAGCACTTTCAGGGGCTGGCCTCGTGGCCGAGTGGTTAAGTTTGTGCACTCTGCTTTGGCGGCCCAGGGTTTTGCTGGTTCAGATCCTGGGCACGGACATGACACCGTTCATCAGGCCATGCTGAGGCAGTGTCCCACATGCCACAACTAGAAGGGCCCACAACTAAAAATACATAACTATGTACCGGGGGCTTTGGGGAGAAGAAGAAAAAATAAAATCTTAAAAAAAAAAAAAAGCATAGGCAATGCATAAAAGTGTAGTACCTATCTTACGTACGATTTTGGGTCAAAGAAATTTTTTTTCCAGATTGTCTATGTCTTAAAGTTATGATTTAAAAATATGTATATATTTTTATATTAAATATATTATATAAAATATTTAAAATACATATATATATAAATGGCATGTGTATCATTTATGTGTGGGGCCTTGCAGTGTAGACATAACATCGTTACAGAGGTGTTTCTCAAGCTGCAGCATATGTTAGTGGTCAATAACAAAACACCTAAAATTTAAGCAACGAAAGAACTCATTTTTTTGTGGAATAATTTTTAAGGGTTTTAAGAAAAGCTCTTTGTCCTGTTTCTTTCAGCCTCAAGGTATTGCAGCATGCTGATCGAGGAAGGAGGGCTGCAGCATTTGTACAACATCAAAGAACATGAACAGACTGATCCCCATGTCCAACAGATTGCTGTGGCCATTCTGGACAGCTTAGAAAAACACATTGTACGCCATGGGAGACCACCTCCCTGTAAAAAGCAGCCCCAGGCCAGACTCAATTGACAGCCATAGGTAATTGGATAACGGAGGCGCAGGGATCCTTTTTGTGATAGGTTCATTTGGAATCTCTTACCCTCTGTGATGTCTTGGAAGCTTCCATGACGAGAGTCAAAAGCTCGGTTAGGGGTTGATGATGTACAGTACTGCCCACGTGAACAGTCTCTAATTTGTCTTGTGATTTTTAACTTACAAGGCAAGAAGGGTCTCTTCCTTCATCATTGCCTTTTAGGAAATTTTCCACATCTTTCAGTGTTTGAACTTACCCGTGCTTGAAATTCTACAGTTTTATGATAAAGTTTGCACGAACACTTAGGCCAGACTTTTTTGATCTTAAAGTCCCTTCTAATCAATTTGCAGCTTCAGATAAGCTGTTAACCTGATTTCTGGCACTGCTTCAGTTGTAAATTTTATACTGCTTCTGTATAAAATGCCTTTATTCTCTGTGTACCTTTTATAAGATGTCCTTCTTAGTGTGAAAGAATGGAAATCTGAGTCCTCTCCTTGTGAAAGCTACTCACTGGCTGGAGCCTGAATGGCTGGCAGAAAAATATATTAAAAACTATTAAGGAAGAATAGATTTTAGGAATTGGGAAATGGTCTGCTCTTATGGTATGTATAGTTTTTAAACCGGGACAGGCTATCCTTCTGGGGCCCACCTCTCCTGAGACAGTGACCAGTAGTTTGTAGTTTATTTTTATTGCCGGAAGCATGGGCTGCCGCTTCCTACATTGACTGCTGGTTACTCTCTAGAAATATTTCCCCAAGCATCACAGTGTGATATTACAGCATTCTGTGTTAAAGATTAAGTGTCTGAATCTCTATATGTCATATTGTTGTGAAAATGTGAATTTTAGAAAAAATTGTCTCTTGTTAGAACTGAGCATTCTTTTCCCTCTATTTCAAAGTCATTTTGTTCAGTGGAATAGACTACACATGGTGTTACCTGCTCAGTTACAATACAATTAACAACAGTAAATTTTGCCACAAGAAATTATTTCCTTTTGTTTCAAAATACATGTATCTTAATGTTTTCATGTTGGAGAAAGATGTCCACATCTCACTGCCAAAAATGAACGAGAAGAATTAGACTATTGTTAGAAGTAATGATTCTAGTTGCAGTGCATAAAAGGAAATATTTTTTGATGGGTTATTTTTTAGACAATTGCCTTCCTTTTAAGATACTTGTTACAGTATAGTAAAGAATCAGTTATCATTATATTAATAATGGCAGCTGAGAGGCAGCAATTCACCATGGAACTTAATTTCCATTAAAAAAAATTTTTTTAAGCTTCAGTGCAGGGGGCCGGCCCCAGGGCGCAGCAGTTAAGTTCATGCACTCCGCTTTGGTGGCCCAGGGTTTCGCCAGTTGGAATCCTGGGCGCAAACATGGCACCGCTCATCAGGCCATGCTGAGGCGACATCCCACATGCTACAACTACAAACACACAACTATATACCAGGGGGCTTTGGGGAGAAAAAGGAAAAATAAAATCTTTAAAATGTCTCCTATGTAACACCTATATTTAAAAAAAAAAAAACAGAAAGAAAGCTTCAGTGCATAGTTGTGTATCCTAGTTGTTAGTTTATTTTTCTTTGTGAGCCCTCTCCAGTCTGACAACTAACAGACAGGTGGTGTGGTTCCACGACCAGGAAAGAACTAAGCGAGAGTGCCGGATCTTAACCACTACACCACCAGGGCTGGCTCCCATTTTAAATTTTAGTTTGTGAATAAGGTTAATCACAATCTCAGATGACTGAATTTTTTCATAGATGGCCAAAATGTTTTCAGTAGAGATTTTTAAATGGTATATATGAATTATGGTGATTATTCAGAAACATTTTTATTTAGAAAGGAGCTGGCTTGTTACTATGCTGATAACATTTTTGTCATACACGTTTCGTACCGCTATCACAATAATCATACTTGAATCATTTGGTACTCCTTCACAGGGATGAAAACTAAAACAAAATAGGTATTTAGAATCACTAAAAACCATATTAAATTGTAGGTTCATTCTGACTTAATTGATGTAAGGAATTTTTATAGATGCAAGATAAATTTTCACAGATTGTCTATTTCAGAGGAAATGGAAAATTCTTTTAAATTTTTCCTCTTTTTTCTGAATTTTAACGTCTAAGGCAAAATGTAGAAGATAGGATACCTACAATAGCTTGGGAGTTGCTAGCTATGTCGACCATTTCCAAGTCTTTTAGCTTGTCTAGTTAAGAGACAGCCTATTTGAGACGTTTTGCATCAAGTTTCTCATATCCTGTTCAAGACAAAAGTGCATGTTTTATAGGCTAATCCTAGGTTTTTCTCTTTATAAATTGTTTTCAGAAATGGCTAAAAATGTACAGAAAACAGTAAATCTTTTCATTACTCAGAATAACTTGTTGATAAAGACTCAGAAGTATTTAAAGTTAAATTTAAGTTTACTACTTTGAGCAGTGAATAATGACCAGATACATCCGAGTCTTAAAGCAAAATAATTAATTGCATCCCAAATATATAAAAATTGTAGTGCCTTTGTGGTTGGGATGGTTTTTAAAATTGTGTATATGTTTAAGGCACAGAATCATCTGTAAAGTCTTGAATCTGGCTAAAATATAGTAGATATATATATTGAAATTATGAGGCGTAACTGGCTTGTCTCTACAGTTAGAATCAATCAGGCCTCCTTTTGCATTTGTGTGCTACAATGTAACAGTCCTTGGTACCTTCAAGGATGACTTCTTCAATGGCTTAGAGGTGCTGTTTCAAGCACAATTTAGATTAGGGTGAACCACTCATTGCTCAAATCATTGGTGTGCTCAGATATTGTACAATATCACTACATCAGTCCACAAGCAGCAGCAAAGTTTAGATCTACTAAAGGAAACAGACATTTTAGAGTATAATGATGCATGTTGGTGTCATTGAATAAAACAAGAACAATTAAAGCAAAAATAATCAAGGCATCTCGTTCCTTCCATCAAGTAAGTTTTGCTATGGTCTTTGTACTCTAAAAAATCATTTTTTATTTTTGTAGTTGAAAAGAAATATGAAATAAGTCATAATAAGGGATGGGTTTACTTTCTGGCCAAGGACTCAGTGACTACTGATCTTAGCCGAGGATTTTTAAAATCATATCAGGCCCACAGTTCCAGAAATTGACCTTAAATATTGCTGCTCCTCACTCCTGGACGGAAATGCCATGTAGTGGCACTAGTCAACTGAAGTGAATTATCCAAGGTGGAGGTGAATCACCGTAAAGCTGCCATGGAAACTTAATTTCATGATATCTTTGGTTTGCGAACTTCCAAGTAATCAAAGATTCATATTTAAAAATAGCAATCCTATATATCCAGCCTAGGAAATTGCTCTTACTAACGGGACCTTTTGAGTTGGCCCTTTTTCTCCCTCGTCACTTTGATTTAGCATTTTATGTGCTAAATTAAGGTAGATCAGATTGATGAACCATGCTTTTGACTTACTATTTTAAAGCATGACACCCCCCACCTCCCCCCCATAGAACAATGTGCAGCAGCACCCGAGGTTGAAAAGAGGTCATGAATAGCAGGGAAAACAAACTTACTGTTTTGTGTATGTTGAAACCCACCCTTCCTCTCCCTCTAATGTTATGTTTACATTATTTAATTATTATGCAACTTTTATCTTGGGATAAACAGTATTATTAAACTAAACGTGTAAGTTGAAGGCAGTATCATACTGTCAGCTGATGTGGGCAGTTTTATCTGTGTGTTACTTATTTGGGGATGTTATGTGGCTAAGCCCTCAGAGTAGTGTTCTAAGACAGCTTACGGAGAGGTTTGCCAACTTCAGCTTTCCCTCTCAGATCCATTGTAGCAGTTTCACATGATTGTGTGGATATTGGATGTTTAATCTTTACCATTTGCTTTGTATTGACACATTTTTAACTTTTAGTGTTAACTCATGAACTCTTCATTTTAGGAATGATGCAAATCCACCCTTCATCCAGTGATGAGAATAGCAATATGATAGGAAAATTTGCTGAATGGGCTCTAAATGAGTAAATGCTTTATCTTTTTTAGTATTTCATAGACTTTGCATGACATGGTACACTCCTAATTCTACATTCTTCGATTTCCAAATCTTAACCTAAGACACTCTATGTTAACTGGTTGGTAGCCTTAGAAGAGCTTTCTCTGCCTGTTTCTCCCCTTCCCAGTTTTTTGGGGTTCATTATGGGAAAGTCAGTGCTGTTTCTCATTTCTCAGGATGAAGCAAAGCTCTTTTGAACAGCACAACCTAACTTTATAGCTAGACAGACTGGCTGTTAAGAATATCTAAAAAGTCCCAAATTTATCAAAATTATTGTATGGGAAATCGTAAATCTAGTTCATTAGTAGTATGTGCTTAATTTGGGACTTACTTTTGGGAAAACTGTTCAAATTGGGTTCTTTTAAGTTGATTTTAATCACTGTAGAAGCAAGAAGCTACTTAGCTAATAAAAGCTGAGACACTTTCATAAAAGCAGGAAATTCTTGAGAGCATTTTTTCCCTTTAAAAATGGGAGGATGTTATATCAAGATTTATGCTCTCAGATAATCTGCGAGAATACAACTTAAAAATCCCTGACTTGTGTAGAAGTCCCACTGTCAAATTCTCAGTGACTTTGAGTGTGAAAAAGCTGTCTTTTGCTTGAATTCTAATGGAAGAATTTAATTCCTTTCAAAAGATATGAAAAATTCATTAGAAAGTATAATATGTATACATTTCAAAGGCTCTCTCAATTATCTGGACTGAAGGCACTGTTCTCACTGTGGCCAGATGAATGGGAGTGTTCTGTACATGAATCATGCTATATTTTAAATCAGGACATCACTTAGGTATTAATGTTGTGTGTACAGATTTTTGTTTGGGGAATTTTTTTTTTTTTGCCTAAATAAATGTTAAAATTTTATGTAATGTGTCTTGTCTACTTTGATTCTAGACATTTGCTTTACAATTTAATACTAATGCAAGATTCAGATTCCTTAGTTATCCACTTGTAACAATTGCTTGCTGAAAAAGATCAACGATTTTACTGCAAATGTTTCTAGTACTGGAGCTCCATTTATTCATTTCATTAAATACGTATGCTAGATCCTGTTGAAATGTTGCAACTTATATAATTTATAAGTCCCTCCTGGAACTGACTGCTTTATGGAGAAGAAGAAAGATAAGTAAACAGATAAATAAATATTATTTAACATTGTATAACAGACAGTCCACCGTGCTTGTTATAGAGGCACAGAGACCACACCTAATGCAAACTGGGCACCCCTTAGGCAGTCCAAGGAGACTTCCTAGAGAACATAATATTTGGGTTGACATTCATTCACAAAACTATTGAGATAATTAACTGATATAATTTGTATTGTTTAAGTGAATTTAGTGAAGGAGGTTACCAAAAAACAAAGTATAACACATGAACCTCATGGCTGGGAGGAATCCTTAGTGATTTTGGTTTCAGAAACCTTGTTTTATAGTTGAAGAAACTAAGTCTTAGGTAAAATGAGCTTGCCCAAGTCACACAGCAAGTCAGTGACAGACTCTGCACTACAATTCTTATTCCAAACTTGGAATCCACTGGGTGCCCCCTCCCCACCATATTGTTACATAATAGTATGAGATTTCTTAGATCTTAGGAAATATGTGATTAAGCATCAAATGAATGGTACAGAAAAGAATGTGCACCAAATGGTCAGAGAAGTGGAGACTGTCCTTGAGGGTGGTACTTTAGGGCAGCATTAGTATTTAGAGGCTATAGAAGTATTAATGAATGGGCACTGCAAATATCACCGTTTCACTAATACATAAACATGAGATTAGATGTGTTAGGGTTATAGGATTCTTACAAGTAGTTTTTTTA